CGGCCGCCCCGCCCAGCCTGGCCCGCCGGAGCAGGCTGCGGCCGCCCTGCCCAGCCTGCCAGAAACATCCTCCCCTGACCCTCCCCAGATAAGGTGGGAAGGGATGGGATGGGGAGAGTGTGGGGGTCCCAGACTAGGGGTGGGGTCATGTGGGGGGTGGTCAAAGGGATTACTCCCCTGACTCCCAGCTTCTCCCCCCCAAAAATTTCCCCACCAGTTGCTGTCCCGGCCCATCAGGGTTAGCAGCTGGTGCACCGGGACACTTTGTTTACTTAGGTTTACCTCCATGCCTGCGGATGCTCGAGGTAAACAAACCATCTCAGCCCACCAGCGGCTTATCCTGATGGCCCAGGAGCCAAAGTTAGCTGACCCCTGAATTATAGGGTCGGCTTATGAACGGGTTATAAAAAATTTCTATTTTTACTTATCAATCTTGGGGGGTGGGGGGGTCGGCTTATAAACAAACCGGCTTATGATCGAGTATATACGGCACTTTACAGTAAGTGTGGTTCAAGGTGTGCAGTTCACATGCATTCCACTCTTGATGGGTATGCACCCCATGCACATGAACCTTACATATCCTTGCACCCCCACTCCTATCTGAGGGCATAAAGGGATAGAGCTGGCCCAACCATCCTTCAGTTCCTTTGCCAATACAGATTCTCAGAAGTAGGATCTCATAATAGTGGGGAAGGGCCGTGGTCATGGAATCAATATGGACAACTCATCTCAAAGAACCCGAGTTACTTTAAGGTAAGTAACCTTTCTTCTTCAAGTGCCTATCCACATGGATTCTACTCTTGGTGATTAACATGTAGTTATGCTTTTGATTGGAAGATGGTACTAGGAGTCCTACTTAACAAGTAGTGCAGGACAGCCCTCCCAAAACAAGCATCCAATCCGGAAGCCTCTACCAAGAAGTAGGGTTCTTGTAAACATATGGGCTGAGCTCCATATAACTGATCTACCAGATCCTGAAATAGGGGCATTTTTCAAACAGGCAGCAGAGATTGCCTGAGCACTAGTGGTATGAGCTCTAATGTGGTTAGGTGGATCTAACTTGGCTAACTCATAGCATGTTCTTGTACAGCAAAAATCCCATTTTGATAATCTGAGGATATTTCCTGATGCTTAACATTTTCAGCAAAGGCCACAAATAGCCTAGGTGTGGTCCTGAATGACTGTGTCTGTTAAGAAAGCATGATAATGGCATTATTACATCAAGTGTGTGAAATTTTGCTTCCTCTGGGGTTGAGTGAGGCTGGGGAAAAAGACAGAGGTGAATGATTTGGTTCATATGGAACTCTGAACCACTTTGGGCAGGAACTTGAGATGAGGCCGGAGAGTATACATTGTTCCAGAAGGATACAGTTAAGGGGGACCTGCCACGAGGGCCTGAATCTCCCCTTTCCTTTGAGATGATGTAATGGTTACTAAAAGGCAGTCTTCATCAATAGGTAGTAAAGGAAAGAGGTTGCTAAGAGCTCAAAGGGGGCGACCCATCTACCCTGTTAATACTGTACTAAGGGGTTCCGGAGGCAGAGAGCTCCTGAAGTAGGAGAAAAATAAGTATAAGGCTCTTAAGGAATCTAGACACTGTACTGTGAGAAAAATACAGTGTAGCCCTGGATAGTAGAGTGATGTGCAGATATTGTTGATGGATAGACCTTTACGGAACTGATAGAAAATCCAACCAGCATCCAGGCTGTCAATGTAACAAAACTGGGT